AGGACTCTGCACTTGTCCTTGTTGAACCTCATCAGATTTCTTGTGGCCCAATCCTCCAATTTGTCTAAGTCACTCTGGACCCTATCCCTGCCCTCAAGCTTATCTACCTCTCCCCCTAGCTTAGTGTCATCCGCAAACTTGCTGAGGGTGCAATCTATCCCCTCATCCAGGTCATTAATAAAGATATTGAGCAAAACCGGTCCTAGAACCGAACCTTGGGGCACTCTGCTAGAAACCGACCGCCATCCTGACATTGAGCCGTTGATCACTACCCACTGTGCCTGGCCTTCAACTGTCTTACTGTCCATTTATCCAATCCACATTCCCTTAACTTGCTGGCAAGAATATTGTGGGAGACCATATCAAAAGCCTTGCTAAAGTCAAGGTATATCACATCCACTGACTTTCCCACGTCCACAGAGCCAGTTACCTCATCATAGAAGCTAATCAGATTGGTTAGGCACGACTTTCCTTTTGTGAATCCATGCTGACTATTCCTAATCACTTTCCTCTCTTCCGAGTGCTTCAAAATGGATTCCTTAAGGACACCTTCCATGATTTTTCCAGGAACCGAGGTAAGACTGACCGGCCTATAATTCCCTGGATCGTCCTTCTTCCCTTTTTTGAAGATGGGCACTACATTTGCCTTTTTCCAATCATCCGGGATTTCTCCCGATCTCCACGACTTTTCAGAGATAATGACCGAAGGCTCCTCAAAGACATTTGCCAAGTCCCTCCATACCCTCGGATGCATTAAGTCCGGACCCATGGATTTGTGTACGTTTTGCTTTTCTAAATAGTTCCTAACCTGTTCTTTACCCACCAAGGGCTGTCCATCTTCATCCCATCTTGCATCACTTAGCGCATTAGTCGAGGAGCTGACCTTGTCCGTGAAGACAGAAGCAAAGAAAGCATTGAGTACTTCAGCTTTCCCACATCATCTGTCACTAGGTTACCGCCTTCATCCGGTAGGGTCCCCGCACTCTCTCTAATCACCTTCTTGTTGTTAACATGCCTGTAGAAACCTTTCTTGTATCCTTCACATCCTTAGCCAGTCGCAATTCCATTTGCGCTTTTGCCTTCCTGATAACCCCCCTGCATTCTCGAGCTATACAATTAAACCCCTCCCTGGTCATTTGTCCAAGTTTCCACTTTTTGTAAGCTTCCTTTTTGTGCTTAAGTTCACCAAGGATTTCCCCTGTAAGCCAATCCAGTCTCCTACTATGTTTGCCTCTCTTGCTACGCAGCGGGATGGTTACTTTCTGTGCCTTCAATAAGGCTTCTTTAAAATACTGCTAGCTGTCCTGGACTCCTTTCCTCTTCATGTTAGCGTCCCAGGAGATTCTGCCCATCAGCTCTCTGAGGGAGTCAAAATCTGCTTTTTTTGAAGTCCAAGGTGTGTATTTT